GTAATAAAAAATAGATATCCCTACAACTCATGCATTTGTTAGTGCAAAATGGCCTCACACCACGTTCCCAATGAAAATTGCAAGCATTGACCATCCTTCGAGGGTTCCAGGCGTAGATGGCACCAACTTGGCACGAGTTTCAGCGACCCTGTGTACATTCTCGAGCAGATATCGGGGGATTAAGTGAAACGGTCGAAGGCGGAGGGGGGCGAAAGGAACAGCACGGCTCAAATAAATTTGGACGGTACGTCGACTTTGCTTCCGCGTTCACATCCTTTCCGCGTGTAACAGAAATATCTTTCTCCCAGGAATTAATAGGGCGTCGTGACGCTGCATCGCCGCCGAGCCATTTTAAGTCGAACAATATCTTGCGGCCCTGGCTTGCGAGGATTCATGGAACGTTCCATTTTAAGAGACACTCGAGCTAACTCGGAATCCCACGCAATATAGGAATTCTTTTTAGTTTCGAGGGCGAGTGCTTCGATAATTCGTGTTTTGGGCGCATCTTTAATTACGTCGAGATTGGTAACATCGTTGAGCAATATTTTGTTTTATTTAGAAAAGATTGAGTGACAATATTTGGTTTTTTGAAATTTACATTATTAATTCCTTTTTAAACGGCAGAATAATAAATATAATGGATATTTTATAAAGATATATAAATATTAATATATCTTTATGCCGGGACCATGAACGTGAAAATCTACAATTAAGAAGCGATTAAATAAGAAGGTATTCGATCCACGCGAGTTGTAACGGTAATATTCATGATTTCTTATAAATAAATATACTTTCGTTTATCAACGAGCTGAGAACACAATAATTTCTATAGTCAATGACTTATGTGATTTCTTAAAAATAAATATGGTTCCGTTTTATCGACGAGCTGAAAATAAAATAATTTGTACTTTAATACCCATCAAGATTTAGGAAGCGTGTTAATTTCGTGTTCTGTCACCGAACAAGAGCGCTTACGCGATTATACCGCCGTGCGAGTCGACATTTCGTGCATTAGGTCGCTAAAACGTTACATTACACACGAAAGTGCCAAGTCATAGCGCAGAATGCAAACAGCCATTCGCGTATGTTCGCCTTTCACCCCGATAAGGGTGGAGTCTTGCGCGATTAAAGCTATATTACTCTAGCTATAGGATTATGATAACTGAGTTTCCTTATCGCCAATGAACGCCAGATTACACTAGGCAAAATGGGACATCGTGCATTTTGAACACGAACGTTTAAAGACAACCATTTAGACAACTTAATGCGAACGTATTAACACGAATAACCTGATTTTATAATTTAAATGGCGCATTCGCATGCAGTAGCCGATTCGAAAAGCATTGGTTAATATGCAAATGAACTCTCACCGAATTATGACCAATCCATAGGATGCATCCCTCGAATAAAAGAAAATTTAATTTTGCAGCATCAATATTCAGTGTTATTCATTCCCTAGTAATTTAAAGTATCGCTAATATATGCTTCAATCCATCGAATAATCCAGCGGAGCCAGAAATTTAATAATATTCGAACGTGACACAGGCCTGGTTGATTATAAATCAACACTTAATCCAATAGCTTTAAATGCGTCGGATTAAACTACTGCAAAATTGGTTGGTTCACTAGTTTCGCGATAGAATTTTAAATGTGACACACTTTATGCATTTATGACTTGCAATAATATACATAAAATACACATAATCTTGAATATATTCTGGAATTAATGCAATAATATTTTTATTTCATTTTGCGTAATTGCATATACCTTCTGATTATGTTTAGCATATATTTATTATACTAGTTTGTATATTTATTATATGAATCCATAAAATTCATTAGATGATACATCCCTTTTTGACGACGAATAATTTTATTAAATTTAAACAGAATGTACGTTGAAAAAGGACACAGAAAGAAGGAAGAAAAATCATCGAATCTTTTATTCGGCCCGATAGAATTACTAGGTATCAACGAGTTACGTGTCACAAGAAATCGAACGTGTGACATCCTTTCCATTCTCTCGCCATCAATAGACACTAACTCGTCCAAGTCCGCTGAAAACGGACAAAAAATTCGCCGGCTGTCGCGTAGCAGCCATTATCCGTTCCGGTTTTTAGCAACGACGAGGAATCAATGCCCGTCTAAATCGAGAATGCAACGGGGCGTCACGTAGCTCGCGTCTGAAAGCCAACTACGTGTTCTTTCGTCTTTCACGTTACACATTTACCCCTGGAAACCTTTCAACCGACGGGGTTACCGGAGGTACCTGTTCGGAATCGGTTACTCGAATCACGAACAGGTTTCTTACGTTGCAACGCCGCGGGCCTATTTAAATAAAAGTCGCGGTTCGCTTAACACGTATTTGCTCCACTGGTTTGATCGCGTGCACGTTAGGCTTCTTTCAATCATGCTCTTTCATTTCTGGAGTATACGTTTCTTTTGTCGGTTAATTGGCGAAATTGCTTCCTGCGTTTTACATAGACAGTGACATCTGATGTTCGAGGGATGATCGTTAGATAGGAACTCTTCGTTCGAATGAAATCGTGAGGTAAAATTTGTTAAGCTCCTTCGAAGTTTGCTGATAAGCATTTGCTTCAGTGTTTGTTACACATTTTTCACGAAGAAACATAAATAGATGATGCAAAACTTCAGTGTGTATCTGAAGTAAACTTACTATTTATTTATAAAGGAGAATTATACTTTTAAGAGTGCACATACAGTCAGACTTAAGGTACTCGTACACTATATGTCTATTGAAGAAATTTGTCTAAATTAAATGATAGATTTAATGTTTACACATGAACTGACGATATATTACTTGTAAAAACAAAGTGTGGAAACCAATCAGTTGGTACTCCAACGTAACAAAATGATGAGTAAATATTTCTACTCGGAATGATAAATATGTGAATGTAAAGTTGCAAAATTAATTTCTACCCTTAAAGACAGGGGGATATTTTCTGGTAAAAATACTATGAAAAACCACATGACGCTTGCCAAAAACCTTCAAATTAAGACATGCCAGTCAAAGAGTAAAGATTCTAAGAGATGCTCTCGATATTCCCTAGCATGAAACTACTCTTGTCTATATTGGCTCGCGGATGCTTCCCATTAATCATGAAACGTATCACGCACGGACGATCCCATACTCCTCCAGTCATGGCTTCTTTTCATTACAAGTATTCCTGTTCTTATTGGAACGGTGCCGATGCCAAGACAGGATGGCGTCTACCGCACTTTCGACGAACATATACGCTAATCGTGATCAGCTTTCGTGAAATTTGGGGCGTTAAGTCTTCCACCCATTTTCTTTTTTTTTTTTGTGCCCGAAAACCGTTCGCGGAGAGTTCGGAAACTTCCTCGAAAAGTTTCGTCAGCTTCGTAGAAAGGGGGACATCGGATAAAGGATGGGAGGCGACCACAGCGCCGATTCTTTGTTTCGTTCAATGTATTTGCCGTCTTACGGTGCTTAATTATAGTTTAATTAAAATCCGTGCACGCCGCCCGTGGGAAAGTTTCAGAAGTTAATCCCCGGCAGAGTCGACGATACTTTCATATTAGCGAGGCACCCGGCCGTTCCGCGGACCGCTAAAATAAAACGAGTTAATTACATTATGGCACCGACGTGCCGCGCTACGACGCCACCACGGTTTAACCAACCGAATACCAGCGCGCATTTGCGATTTTATGACACGGAACGTCCAAGTGTTTCCAACGGTACCTTAATCGTTCGAAAAATCACCGATCGAACCTGTGAATTCCGAACGAGTGCAATTTTTCGACATTGCCAGTTTGACAGATGTTGGATAATATGTCTGACCATTACTCGATGTTTCTACTTACGTCAGTGTTTGTACAGTTGTATTATTTAAACCATTGGATCAAATTAAAGGAGTTACCTTAGTTCAGAGTAAATTAAAAGGTCGCGTTTTTTAAAGAATCGGTTTTGAACATTCTTGGATAGGTGTGCGATTTAGTATCTACGCTTTGGATAGTGTGTCTGATCATGACTCGCTGTTTCTACTTACCCCTGTATTATGTAAACCCTTGGATCAAATTAAAGCAATTTCCTTAGTTCAAAGTACGTTAAAAGGTCGCAATTTTTAAAGAATCGCCGTCGTTAATATGTCTCACCATTACTCGCTGTTTCAGGATCCAGAATATCCTTCTCGAATTCCTCGAGTCCCAGAGCCATTTTCATTCTCTTCCTCGAACACATTGATTCACGCATGATCTGTGTAGCGTCACGGATCAAAGTGCATCTGTTTTGTGGTTTGTAGCTCAAAGTTCGTGACCAGTGTGATCCGTATCGGCATTAACGTGTCTCGTGACGCCTATAACGCTTGGCAAGTGTTTGTCGACGTCGATACCAGGTTCAACGGGACGCGTTATGACACGTATTAGGTATTATAGGATCACCAGATATTAGGTCCGATAAATCCTGTGTCAGCAGTTTTCTATCCCGTAGGCTCGTGGCCATCTGTTTCCAGTTTCACAGATCTTGCACGGTCCTAATTGATCCTGATTAGCGTGTCCTCTCCTGTATTAGGCTTAGCTTGTCTGTAATCATGACATTTCCTACGTGTTCAGACTTTAGGAACACCCTGTATTTTTGTTAACTTCCGCGGCGTATTATCTCTAATCCTAGTGGGACGATAGTCTGCGTTGCACACCAAGTTTGAGCAACTAAAATTTGAGTTTCAGTAAGTAAATTTATGGACTAATGACGTTTGGTGTATTATTAAGTTATAGAATACGGGCTCTATAATTACTCGAACTCGGTGTGTGGCACGAAGTCACGCTACGGTAGAGTTACGGTTAAGTGTATCCTACATTACGTACACTACCATTGGGAATTTCGAGCTCCTTGGATATTTAAATTTGGTTAGACGTTAAGTTGGAGTGTTATTTAAAAAATGGTGGACGCACTGACTTAAAGATAAATTTCAGAATCGTATTGAATCGATTCGTGATTTTCTGGATACATTGTGTTTCAGATGACAGCAATGTCGAGGCAGCGGTACGCGAACCGCACCAGCGGGAACAGATAAGGAAGGGAGGAGCCACGCGTCGGGCAATCATGTGTAGTGTCATGTGGCTCCTTCGGCTCCTAACGATTTGCTGCCTCGTTTATCTATCGGCGTCCGACTCCCACACAGGTACGTGCAATTTACATCTTACGAGTGCTACTTCAACGCTTTCAGCCGCGATACTATCATTTTAATTATTCGAAGGGGATACAGTGTTGTATTTCAGTTAGAGCCATTTAATTACTCTAGTGGCACCTGAATTATCTAAACCTCTGGATCAAATTTGAGCAGATACCTGGTTCTTGTTGATCACAAGAGTAAAAATAGTTTAAAAGCTCTCATCTTTAAAAATATCGATTTTGAACATTTTTGGGTAGATGTAGGATTTAGTATCTACACCTTGGTTAATATGTCTGACCATTACTCACTGTTTCTACTTACACCTATATTATTTAAACCATTGGATCAAATTGAAGCAATTACCTTAGTTCAAAGTAACTTAAAGGATCGCGTTTTTTAAAGAATCGATTTTGAAAATTCTTGGGTAGGTGTACGATTTAATAGTTGCGCCTTGGTTAATATGTCCGACCATTACTCGCTGCTTCTACTTACGTCAGTGTTTGGAACGTTGACCGTGATATGGTACTACATGTTTCCATCGATCTTGCTATCATCTTGCTAATTAAAACTGTTCGAGGCATGCGATACCATCATCAATCTTTAAGAACACTAACACAAGTAGAAATAGCAAGTAATGGTCAGACACAGTAGCGAAGTAGAGTTCTTCGCATATTCGCTGACACTTTTCTCGAAAACGAAACTTCTTAGACAAGATTTTTATTTTACATTTATGTTTGCAATTTTGTTGTACATTGTATGCGCCATGAATATTAATCAACGCTGCAATGGTAAAAAATTGAAATAAAATTGGTTTAACAGTTATTAAATTACAAACTCGTGTAGCAAGACAATAAATTCTATTAATATTGCTGCATTGTCATGTAAATATTGTAGAAATTCTCACGAATGGTTTTAGAAGGATATAAAATAAAAATACAAATGCGATATAATTACTGAAAATTGGAAGCATCCCACTGCAGAGATGGAGTAGAATTTTATTTTGGTAGATGATGTATAGAAACCTGGTATAGCAATTTATTAGAAACATTCGTTCGATCGAATAGCTATTCGCGCAAGTCTTTATTCCTCCACTATAAAACAGACTTTGATTTTTATATATCGAACTTCAATTTTTATTAAACAAACAACGAATCGAAAATTGTTTATCTTTCGTTCGTTATCGAAGTACTTTATCTAGACGAGAATTTTTCCCATCTCCTAGCCATAGTGTTTCGTTTGGAACGTTCCAGGCGTGCGTATACAGCGATAACGAAAGCCGTGGATGTAGATCCCAATTATTCTATACTCCTTTTACGTGGACACGTGTGCTTTCGTTACTCTAGCAAACAGTGCGCTGTACTACGCTGTGATTTCTTTCAATTGTTCTACACGAAATTGTCACTATTATTGTCCCAAAAAAATGTAAAGAAATCACTTGGTGGAAGATCGAGACAAAGGAGCCATGAGGGAACCAGTATGAGAATTAAATGTTGCAAATATAAACGAATATGATATACTATATTAACCAAGTTTCAACACGTTACATAATACAGAAATAAAAATATTTTAATATAGTTCATATTTTATATTGCGGTATATAATATAGAATACTATTATTAGTAATAATAACACTATTAATAATACTAATAATAAGTAGAATAATATTATGATATTATTACAGTCCTGAAACTTGATTGTTAAGGTTAAATATTGTTTCCCATTGATTTCTCATCAGCCATTCATCATGGTTGCCTCGCCAATGATTTCGAGCTACAGCCCTTGATAAAGGCGAAATTATTGACGAAGTCGTTGTTATATCAATAGCTCTGCCTCGAAGGCCATTACTCAAAAACGGATAAATGGGTGACAGGAAGCCCCCAATAAGCGTAATCAACACAATTGAGAAGATCAAGGGTTCTGCGTTGGCTTGCATTCCGGTTGACATTCGACCAACGCGCAAACGCGCTTATTCTCTCATTAATCAAGGCTGAACGACGTGAACGACCATAGAGGATCGTATCGAGAGTATCAAATCGCTCGAACAGTCGCGACGAGAGCTGTTCAAGTGCCTAGAAGCGTAGATACCGTAGAATCTCACCCATAATGACGTCAACTAGGGCCTGCATCTTGATGAATAATCCATGGTTCTCACGTAGCCATTCTGCGAGGCAAAATGAGGCCGACCACTCGCGAATCTGCTAGCTGTAGTACTAGGTACTTTGTTCTTACAGTGACTCCCAGAAATATTCGGACACTAGTGTATAGTTAGCTTTATGATTTAATATCGTAGTTATTAAAAAAGCAATCGTCTTCGTTACTTTTTCCAATAATGAGTCATTTATTAATGTTATTAAGGATGTAGACATTAATTCAAAAATTTACATAAATTACATAATAGCAATAAACAAACGAAAGAATATCAGATTTTCGGGTACGATAAAACACGGAGGAGGTATTGTAATAGTGTGGAGACGCATTTCGACTTCCGGCGTTGGCAATTTAATTTTTATCGATTGCATTATGGTTAAGAATGCTTATTTGAATCTTTTAAAAAGCAATTTAAAACAAAGTGCAGAAAAAATGGGGATTGTTGAAGATTTTAAATTTTACCAGGATAATGATTCTAAACATAAGTCGCGCATTGTCTAAGAATTTTTATTGTATAATTGGCCCAAAGTCCTTCATCCACCTCTACAATCACCAGACCTTAACCCTATAGAAAACTTATGGGATAAGTTAAACTAACGAATTCGCAAGATACCCATTCGTTTCAAAGAAGAACTTAAAATTAGGCTTCAAGAAGAATGGGCATCCATTTCGACAGAATATTAAAAAAAAATAATTTCTAATATGCCGAATCGATTGAGACATATTATAAGACAAAAGAGATTTGCGACAAAATATTAATGTGGAACATATAATGTTTAATTTTAATTAATAAATGTTATTCCTCGTAGTGTCCGAATATTTTTGTGACCCGAAAATGCGGTATTCCTTCGTTTGTTTATTGTTATTATATAATTTATGTAAATTTTTGAATTAATGTATATATCTTTAATAATGTTAATAAATGATTTATTATTGGAGAAAGTAACGAACACGATTGCTTTTTTAATAACTACGATATTAAGCCATAAAGCTAACCATACACTGGTGTCCGAATATTTCTGGGAGTCACCGTATTTATTTATTGTAAGAAGTAACGCTTTAAAACTCGGTTTTCTTTCTTATTTATAATAATATGAACAATTTAATTAGAATATAGCTAAAAGAATTTTGTTTGTTATATGGACCTACATTGATTATGTATTTTATTATCATTAAAATTTGGAAACTTTAATATAGGTTAATATTGAGCAAATGTGAAGTTCATTATTCCTCATTTAAGTTTCAAAGCAAAGTTGCAGGGAGATTAAGTGAGAACATTTAGAAACAGGATAGTTTTCTTTTTCGTTCCCAGGGCGAGTAAAACAAACTTCCAAAGTTTGACCACTTATTTTCTGGAACACTACGTTAATCCTTTCAATCATTAAATCCTTTTGTTATTCAGTTCATAATGTAGGAATAAAACTACGGTGTGGTCGAAGTAGAAGAAGAAGAATTTTAAGAGAAAGCGATTTGAAAGTATATGAACACAGGGTGTCTATCTAATAGGTGATTATATGTACTTGAAGAATACGCCCTAATAAATATAAATACAGTTTTCTAAATAATTCTTTTCTAAATTACAGACCTCGAAAAGTATACGCTACATTAACATTTACACCTCGTGTCTTATAATATAATTTTTTAAAACTTTCTTGCTCCTAATTTTGAAATTTTTGAATAGAATATAATCAACATAAAATATTACTCTAAATTGAATATTATCACAACGTACAATTATACATTAAATATCGCTTTGCTTACTCCTGTATTCAGGTTTTAAATTTTCAATTTAAACAAATTAAAGTATCTTCTTTCTCAGCCTTTAAGCAAAGTATAAAAAAAAAATGAATTAAAAATGAAGCAAGAAACTGAAAAAAAAAAGGAAACAGTCATTCGAATAATTTCTGAAACGCATTTCCCCTATTCCCGGTTTCATGCCGGCTTCTATTAACTAATGAATTGCGTGAAAACGACACAGGCGTGTGTAAAACGCGAGATTGGAGCGGCTCCAATCGGCTCGGGTGATCTACAACAGGAGCGCAACGCCGCGCGAGGAAGACTCCATTAAATAAACCGCAGAATTAGTTTCCATGAAATTCAGATTGCCAGAGGGTGGGAGAGAGTTATACATCCAGGACATCGAGGTATGTAAATTCGTCGACGTATACGGTAAATGTGACCGTTTTCCTTATTACCTGTGTAATTAGGATGCCGACGTCTCGCTTGAAATTGATTTACACTCGGTAATCTAAAATTTAGCGTTTCTGCCTGCGAGCGTTCCTCCCGACCGAGCGACTTTTAATGTTTGATTAAGAACGTTCTTAGGCTACTTCAACGATCGTGGTCGGTCTACTCGTAACTTCTCGAGTTGGTTCACCGTTGCTATCATTTCCTCCCTCTGCATATGAAGTTTGTTAAGCGTGCAAATATTTTCGGGAATCCTGCTTTGCGAAATGTCACATTTGAGATAATGAATTATTTGGTTGATTATATTGTATGTTTCCTGTTTATTCACATGTTTCAACACATTTTTTACTATGTTGTGGGATAATAAATAAAATTTTTTTAAAATTTGGAGGGATGTTCATGAATTTGTAACGCAAAGGTTGAGCAAGATGTAGTAGTAAATCAATTTTCGATTGACACTGTTTCTTTTGAGTAATTAACTTTATTAGGTGTAAAAACTAATCGTGTGGCTTTCTAAAATACGTATATAAATATAATGTATTAAAAAAAATAGTGGAAGTTAATATCTATAATCAGCATATAATACCTATGTATTCTTTGCGCCAGTAAAAGAAAGATCGTAAATAAAATTTACGAGAGAAAGACACCCACGAATAAATGAAAGAAAGGTACAA